TCCTGCACTTCGAGCCGGAGCCCCGGTTACCCGCTAGGTTCTCCGCGACTCCAAGGCCCTAATGAATAGTTTGCTTATGGGATGACGTGCTCCATCGTAGACCGCATCATCGCTAATCACCAGGCGAGATAGTGATGAAAAAGGACAAAAGCCAAGAAGGCCAAAGGCCATTACATTCCGCAGCATACGGAGCCGCGGAGTCTTTTTTTAAGGGGGGAAAATCATCGAATAACTGCTCCCGCCTGGGTGAGGCGGGAGGGAGTGTCAGACTCTTACTGACTAAAAACCACCCCGTTCCTTCTCCTGCACGTCGAGCCGGAGCCCCGGTTACCCGTTAGGTTCTCCGTGATACAGAGGGCTTAACCCGTCGTGTATCTAAACGTGGATCCACGCGAGACACAATGTATTTCCTATTGTGTCTCATATACAAGCATTGAAGCGGTTAAACGAGCCCGTGTTCGCCGCTCTGATTGGCCGGCTCCCATGAACCAACTAATCACAGCTCCGAACGCGATCTCGTTTCGATTATTAACTCTTTTATGCTGGAATACTAAACCGTTACTCAATTTTAAGTCGTGCTTAAATATCATGCTGTCTCTGTCATTTAACAAAGAATTTGTAGAGACAGAACTATGCTTAAGCGCGACTTAAAATTGAGTAACGTTTCAGTATTCGGGCATTAGTCACACTTCTAACTGGTTACGAATATATTTTATTTATTTATACTGAAATGCTTAAACACTAAGTAAAAAAATTTGAAGCATACTTCAAAAATTGAATTACTTTAAAAAGGTGGTTAGCTACAGTGACCGCTAAGACTGAAAGAGTAATGGTTGTCGCGGAGAACCTAACGGGTAACCGGGGCTTCGGCTCGACGTGCAGGAGAAGGAACGGGGTGGTTTATAGTCAGTAAGAGTCTGACACTCCCTCCCGCCTCACCCAGACGGGAGCAGTCATTCGATGATTTCCCCCCCTAAAAAAGCAGTCTGGTGGTTTATTCTTGCATTGTGTGCCCATCGCGCCCTCTCCCGGAGACCACGCGCGTTCCTTTCTAATTCTGGCGGTGATACTAGTATAGCTTTTCTCAGTATATTTCCGTAAATAAACCGCTGTTTTAGTTAATAAAATATTTTTTATTTGCTTTTACTGTCATTCCTTTACGAAGGCAGTAGAAAGAGGTGCACATAATATTATTATGTACAATGTAACATTAATTTTGCAGTTAATTTTTACCAGTCATGAGTCCCATAACATAACATAACATCACGCCTTTTATCCCTGAAGGGGTAGGCAGAGGTACACACTATGTCACTGTACAATGTAATACTCACTTTTCACTATTTATTTTATGAGTCCCATGTAATAGTGAGCCTATTGCCATATACCGGGCACAATTCCAGACTCCGTGCTACTACTGAGAATTTTTAAAACCCCAGTAATACTTTGCTCGACCCAGGAATCGAACCCGAGACCTCATGCACGGCAGTCACACTTACGACCACTCGGCCAACGAGGCAGTCCTATGTCATGAGTCCCATGTAATATATTATTATATATCTATCAATTTGACTGCCTCGTTGGCCGAGTGGTCGCAAGTGCGACTGCCGGGCAAGGGGTCTCAGGTTCGATTCCCGGGTCGGGCAAAGTATTACTGGGTTTTTTTTTTAAATATCCTCAGTAGTAGCACGGAGTCTGGAATTGTGCCCGGTATATGGCAATAGGCTCACCCCCTATTACATGGGACTCATAACATAAATAGTGAAAAGTGGGTGTTACATTGTACAGTGGTATAATGTGCACCTCTGCCTACCCCTTCGGGGATAAAAAGGCGTGATGTTATGTTATGTTATGTTATGTTATATCTATCAATTTCACTGCATTTTGAAATGGATTTATGGCTCTCAAATAATTATACAGATTTTTTTAATAACGACTAATTAATCTCATGTAGTTTTTTAGGAGGTAAAATATAAATAATATAAAATCAAATATATAATAAGTACTATGGCCATATTATTATAACAATTTTTATTTTCTATAAATTTAGAAAAACATGGAATTTAATTCCCAATATACTTAATATATAATAATTATTTTTTTATCTTTATAGGTAACCACTTTTAAATTGTAAGTAATACAATAATACTTTGCACAACCCTGAATTGAGTACTTGCCATAATCAAAAATAAATTATTTCGACTGTTCAATACAATACAATATTAAAAAATAATCACACTTTCATTAAATGATTTTATGACCAACTTAATTTTAGTATTATTTCCAGCATTATCTATAGAAATAAGTATGCCGTTTGACGCTAAAAAACGACGTCACAATACACATCATCATCATCATCAACAGCTTATAAATGCCCACTGCTGAGCAAAGCCTCTTCTCACACGGAGAAGGTTAGAGCAATAATCACCACGCTTGCTCAATGCGGGTTGGCGATTTCAAACTTATAATTAGAAATTATAAGCCCAGGTTTCCTCACGATCTTTTTCTTCATCGTTTGTCAGTGGTGTCTAAATAATCTTAGAAAGTACATATAACTCGGAAAAAGTCACATTGGTACTTGCTGTTGGTAAGTTTCGAACCTGCACCCTCGTGCATGAGAAGCAGGTGTCTTCAACCTCCGGGCCACCACGACACAATACACAATCTCGTACAAAATTCATAGAAAACTGTCGTTTTTGACAGTTCGAAAAAGTATTGAATTTGACTAGTTGGCAAGTACATAATTCTAACCTAAAAGGCCACACTTGACCATTGCCAACAGTTACAAACAATTACTATATTATACTATCGGACCTGACAGACGTTGTCCTGCATATCCACTTGAATGTATAAACAAAAATTCATTCAAATTAATTCAGCTGTTTAGGATAAATAACCTAAACATCGACTGCAGCGCCATCTGCCGGGCTGATTTGTGAATCTAAACCATTCCCAGATCCCCTTGAACACACACAAAAAATTTCATCATCGGTCCAGTCGTTTGAGAGAAGTTCAGTGACATACACACTCACAGAAGAATTATATATTTAAGATTTACACCTGAATACTTAAAAGCTGCCCAATTTTAAGTAGTACTCAAATATCGTGCCATCTCTATCATTATACAAAGGGTTTGTAGACAGAACTATAATAAAACTGTCAAACACCGCGAGGACACCGGTGACCGCAACCTATTGTGTCTTTCATTTCCTCAATAGCCTATAAATGCCCACTGCCGAGCAAAGCCTCTTCTCACACGGAGAAGGTTAGAGCATTAATCACCACGCTTACTCAATGCGGGTTGGCGATTTCAAACTTATAATTAGAGATTATAAGCCCAGGTTTCCTCACGATGTTTTTCCTTCACCGTTTGTCAGTGGTGTCTAGATAATCTTAGAAAGTACATATAACTCGGAAAAAGTTACATTGGTACTTGACGTTGGTAGGTTTCGAACCCGCACCCTCATGCATGAGAAGTGGGCGTCTTAACCTCCCGGCCACCACGACATAATACACAATTGTATCTATAATGACGGTACTCAAAGGGTTAAGCGCGACTTAACATGACTGCACGGTTGGCGTGGTGGCTGGGCAATCGAAAGCCGCGCAACGTGTCGCGGGTTCGATTCCCGCACGGAGCAACTCTTTGTGTGATCCACCAATTATTGTTTCATTTAGTTGTGAACTTGTATATTTGTAAACGCACACTGACACGACACAGGAGAAAACCGTAGTGTTTTTTTTAAGGGGGGAAAATCATCAAATGACTATTCCCGCCTGGGTGAGGCGGGAGGGAGTGTCAGACTCTTACTGACTAAAAACCACCCCGTTCCTTCTCCTACACGTCGAGCCGGAGCCCCGGTTACCCGTTACATTCTCCGCGAATCCGAGAAACCGTAGTGTGGGGCAGTTTCATTAAAAAAAAGCTTTAAAATCGAGTAGCATTTGAGTATTCGGCTGTTACGATTATTAAAAATGCCAAAAAAAGGTATTGAAAAAGTGTATGGGGCGAAATGACCAAACTCATTTAAAACTTTTGAACATTTTATATTCAAACAACATTCAACATTTTACAGCTGATCAAAGGTTTTTCAGCATATTTCAGACTTTGAGACAGTCTATTTATAATACTATATATATTATAATATGTTTTAGAATCTATCCGATGTAAAAAACTGATTGAAAAAGAGTAACCTATGGAGTTTCTTGCTCGTTCTTCTCCATAGGAATCTACACCTTGGAATGAGCAAATAGCTTCACTAGATGACTAATCGACAGACTCAAAAATGCCTTTTTAAATCAAATGAAAACAAAATACATTGATTTTGACTTTCAAAACTCAGTCAAATATCAAAAACATTCTAAATGCGAGTTAGACTCACCCAATAAAGCCTTTATACATAAAAAAAAGAATCTAACAATATAGCACTAATAAACAAACTTAACTTTGCCGTCCAATCGTTAGACAATAGTATTGCACGCACCGCAAATGACAATTTTGTTATAATAAATTCGGTTTTTTATTAAATCTAAGGCACTGTGTTACATTTTATAGTTCCTAACTTCTTTTTAAGGTCTTGCAATCGTTTATATAATACGTATATGATTGTACGTGTTTTTTTAAGGGGGGAAATCATCGAATGACTGCTCCCGCCTGGGTGAGGCGGGAGGGAGTGTCAGACTCTTACTGACTAAAAACCACCCCATTCCTACTCCTGCACGTCGAGCCAGAGCCCCGGTTACCCGTTAGGTTCTCCGCGACTCCGTATCGACCGTGTGTGTGGAACAACATATATATTATAGTAGTGCTCAGACTTTCATTAACTGAATTGATATTGGTTTTCTCTAAGAGATAGTGTGATTCAAGAAGGTTTCTATATAAAATACCCGCATATTATGAGTCGCCTGTATGTTCTACATTCTACAAATCGGACACGATATTTTAAAACATATTATACATACATTAAAGGCAGGATTGGTGTTTTTATAATACAAATTTAATTTTATAGCTCATCCTTTTCTGCTGGGATGTCAAAGTCATCGCCCTGTGCGTCTTCGTCATCATAGTCTGCGCTGACATCTGGCATCTGCGACTGGGGTGGCAGACCACCAAAACCATAGGGATCTGGTCCATGAACCTGGAAATTTGAATAGATGAATTAGCCTTGATAGATATATGACCTGATAATTGGGCGGCGTTGAACAGGAACGCTCAATTATATGCTGAGGTGGAGGCACCTTTGGCAAGGGAACGCGCACTTTAATATTATTATTATATCTTGATTTTTTTTGTATATTTAATTTCTGTTATTATCGTATTGTACATTATTTTGTTATACTCTAAAGTTTTTTGTTCTTTTATTTATTCTTTTAAGTTTATTATTAACTAGCGACCCGCCCCGGCTTCGCACGGGTGAAATATGCATTTATTATACATACAAACCTTCCTTAAGAATCACTCTATCTATTAAAAAAACCGCGTCAAAATCCGTTGCGTAGTTTTAAAGATCTAAGCATACATACGGACATACAGCGAAAGCGACTTTGTTTTATACTATGTATTGATGTATTGATATTTTGTATTTATGTAAGTATCTGTTTTTATGGCATAAGCCGGTAAACGAGCAGACTGATCACCTGATGGTAAGCAATCGGCGTCGCCCATGGACAACTGGAACACCAGAGGCGCTACAAGTGAGTTACCGGCCTTTTGGGGATTAGGAGTTTGAGGATCGTTGAGGATTCAGGGATTGGGGAGATTGGGGAACTCACTCAGACGACGAAACATAACGCAAGCGTTGCTTCACGTCGGTTTTCTGTGAGGCCATACGCATGATGATTGATTGATTGATGAGTATTAGTCCAGTATTAAATTACCTAAAAATCGCGGGTTACTCACGTGAATATACTGAGAAAAGCTTTACTAAATAAATATTGTAGGCCCTATTGCTTACTATCAGGTGATCTTTTTTATGGGATAAGCAGGAGATTTTATGGCATATGGGACACTTGGAGCACCATAAGTGCGTTACCGGCCTTTTGGGTAATAGAAATTTAAGAATTGTTGGAGATTCAGGTGTTGCATTGTTCTCACACAATCGAACCAACAAAACTATGTAACTAGAGAATTGTATTGTGAACCTGATTGAAAAAGAGTAACCTATGGAGTTTCTTGCTCGTTCTTCTCCATATGAATCTACGCCTTGGAATGAGCAACTAGCTTCACTTATAAATTTTTGTTGTTGACGTTCAAAAGTGCCTTCCTGGTCTAATTGAAATAAATGATTTTGACTTTGACTTTCAGGGATTGGGGAAGGGAGAGGGTGGGGGGGGTAATTGGGCCTCCGGTAACCTCATTCACACGACGAAACACAACCCAAGCGTTGTATCACGTCGGTTTTCTGCTCGGCCGTGGTATCACTGCGGTCGAGCCGGCCTAGCAGTGCCGTATGGCTCTTCTATAGTTAAATCCTATCTATCTGCTCTTTTGCCCCATATCCCATGAAGAAATGCATCCCAGTCAACTTCATACCTTGACATATTCGGCCTCCATCTCATGTGTCCACGTGGTATCCTCCTCGGTGGGCAACATCCACTCCTCGCAGTACTGGGCGTGGTTGAAGCAGATCTGGAATTATATAAATAGGACTATTATAACACATCATGCTTTATTATCCCCAAAGGGGTAGACAGTGGTGCACATTATGCCACTGTACTATGTAACACCCACTTTTCACTATTTTATGTTATGAGTCTTATGTAATAGGGGATGAGCCAATTGTCATATACCGGGCACAATTCCAAACTTCGTGCTACTACTGAGATTTTTTTTAAACCCAGTAACACTTTGCCCGACCCGGGAATCGAACCCCAGACCCCTTGCCCGACAGTCGCACTTGCGACCACTCGGCCAGCGGGGTTTTTAAGGGGGGGGAAAAAATCATCGCATGACTGCTCCCGCCTGGGTGAGGCGGGAGGGAGTGTCAGACTCTTACTGACTAAAAACCACCCCGTTCCTTCTCCTGCACGTCGAGCCGGAGCCCCGGTTACCCGTTAGGTTCTCCGCGACACCGGTGCCTGACATGACACTCGTTTGATGCAAATTCTATACAGATAAATAAATAAAAATGGAGTGTCTGTTTGTAATATTAAAATAACCGCTATTTACTACATGCATTTTTATGTCTGTCTGTCTGTCTGTTTGTACACACGGCCACATAATCAAAACCAGTATATCCTGGTGTCGCGTCGCATCATCTTTCCGCACATTTAACGTTCAGTTTATACTGGCAGTTACAGTTTATATTATGTAAAGCTCGATGTGTAGCCGTGTGTACTGGCTAATCTCTGGAATGGCTGGACCGATTTTGCAAGACTTTTAATGGCAGGTAGCTGATGTACTAAGGAGTAAGGCTACTTTAATGTTAGTTCTAATATTCATATTTTACGCGGACGAAGTCGCGGGCAACAGCTAGTCAAGAATAAAAATTATGATTTATTTGAGAATTGGGATGATGACAGGGTATGAAAATTAAAAATCTAATTAGTCCGTCAGTTAGGTAATGAAAAAATATTAGACACGTATTTTTTTATTTTGTCGTTTAAGAAAACAATACTTAGATAAAACTAATCAAATTTTAGGAGTGGGAGGTAGCTACATCATTTCTACGTATAAAATGTACATAGAAGTGACGTCACGAGACATTACAAATCAATATATCGTCGAAAGTATTCGTTTCTGTAAGAAAATAAAAAATTCGTGTGTAATGATTTAAAATAATCTACCAGACGGACATTAAAATAAAAATTAGGCATCTACCCTATTATGCCACTATGGTGTCCCAGCGAAATATAGACCTAATTTCTATTATTATATTGATTTTTATTATAACAAATTATATTGCTAATACCAATGTAATGGCATCGAGCTTTTCTTTATTGAAACAAAGAGTTTCCTTTTCTTGTATAGAAGCACTAATTCTATGGATTGTCAGTATGCATATGTGAGCACCATGTTGGACTTTAAGTTTTTTTTTTTTAATTTTAGTAAGTTATTAGTATAATGCGTCAAGCGTGTCTTTGCATTGTTCTTACATATGCGTACAGTATTGAAATATGTATCAGAGACATTGTAGAACATACTTTTTAAAAAAGAGTAACGAATGGAGTTTCTTGCTCGTTCTTCTCCATTCGAATCTACTTTTTGAAATGAGCACCTAGCTTCACCTAGTTTCACTGACGGACTGACTGACAGAATATTATTTATTTTGTATTTGTTGACGTTTCAAAAGTACCAAACTATGGTTTAATTGAAATAAATTCTTTGACTTTGACTTTGAATGCTTACCTCTCTCTCAGCGTCCGGCATGATGTCGTCATCTGGCCTGTTCTTGTACAACGATGTGATCTCGTCCTCATTCTCCTCGAACATACGCTCGCACTGGAAATACCAAACAGTTGTATTAACACTTGAATAACATAACATCACGCCTTTTATCCTCGAAGGGGTAGGCAGAGGTGCACATTATGCCACTGTACAATGTAACACCCACTTTTCACTATTTATGTTACGAGTCCCATGTAATAGGGGGTGAGCCTATTGCCATATACCGGGCACAGTTCCAGACTCCGTGCTACTACTGAGAATTTGAACACTTGAATATTTTTATATAACGTGAGACATACTAAATTAACTAAAAATTGCGGGTTACTCACGTGAATATACTGAGAAAATCTCTACTAGTTTCGAACCACAGGGGGGTTCTTCCTCATGAGCAGCGTGCACGGTCACGGCGATGTCACGCACTCTACTCAATAGGCCGCGCGACATCTACTCAGTAGGCTGTAGAGCTTTTCTCAGTATATTCACATGAGTAACCCGCAATTTTTAGTTAATTTAGTATGTCTCACGTAAGTTATTATAAAAACACAATTATCTATGTATGCTATGTCTAGAAATCCTTATCCTTACTATTATTATGAATCGTCGGAGAGTGAGTTTGTTTGTTTGTTCCACTTTCGCGCCGTAACTAATAAGTCGATTGCTTTGAATTTTTGCAGACGTAAAGTTAGAAGTCCGGATTAAATAATAGGGTACTTTTTATCCCGGAAAAATTTGATATTCTCGAGGGAAAACGAAATTATTGGTATAGATGGCGCTGTGTGTATTGGTATAGGTCACATAGGCTACTTTTTATCCTTTCGTGACGCGAGCGAAGCCGCGGGTAAAAGCTAGTCTATTATATAATTATGCTAGTTTGGTGCCAATGTGTCAGTTGATATGCGGGTAAATACTAACATTTTTACGAGTTACTAGAGCTAAACACAAGTTAATTATAGAGTCCATGCTAATGCTAACTGAGAATTATTATCTAGGAAATTCAGGAAACATGTATCTACTGGTAAAAACCGTATAAAAATCCGTCTTATAGTTCTTTTTCATTTATCGCATTCATGCAGACAAAAGGAGACATTTTTTATAATATATATGCAGTTATATTGAACAAAATAATGCTTATATATATGTATGTGTATGTCATCGGAAAATAATAAGTTCCGTGAGTTTGTAAATTTCCTAGGAAAATTATATACTTCCATTCTATTCTAATTGAGACATAAATTGTATTATTTAATGTCCCATATTTTCGGCAATTAATCAATTTACGACGTCTCGTGTTAAGCTTACGGATTTTAAACGATTCGACCAATCACAGGAGAGCTTTTAATATTACGTTTCATTAAAAAATACGGAAAATAACGCACTTCTCTCTGATTGGTTGATGTTTTATATTTATATATTTTTATATTTGATGGGCCGTCGTTTGACCACTATCTCGCTAATTGGTAAGCGATGATCCGGTCTACGATGGAGCACGTCGTCCCATAAGCAACCTCGTTGACAGGCACTGTCTAATTGGTCGATGATAATACAATTTATCACTCGTTTAGAATCCTACGGAAGTATTATAATTTTACTAGGAAATATATGAACTTACTTTTTTTTAATTTTCCTAGGAAATTTCTCAACTTACTGTCCTTGTTATTTTCCGGTAACATATACATCAAAATTTAATTAATAAAATGACTTACATAGTACTCCAAACTCTTATTCAGATCATCGTCAGTGACAAACTTGGTCTTGGAGAAGTCAGGGTTCATGCCACCGTCTTTGGTGATCAGCTGCATGATAGCCAACTTGTTGGTCGCCTTGTAGTACACTCTCACGTAATCGTCCATCTTTTTACCTGAAAATACAAAGTTTTTTTTTTTAAGGGAGGAATTTTTTTAAGTCATAGAATAGGGTAGTTGTCTAATTTTTATTGAACATAATAATTTCCTCAAGGCCGAACTAAAGTGCCCTTCACCGTTCAAATGATTTTAAATAGGTACTTATACTCCGTCTGTTTAGGTAGTTAACTATTTGTAAACAAACCATAAAAAGAGTTATTTATAGTTGACATTTCCATGATTCAAAATACTTCATAAGAAAATAAAATTGTTTCCCTTTTTACGACAGTTTTCTCTATTAAATGTTATGTTTCTGTTCCTTTTCACTTATTTCTTAGTAAATATTATATATATCTGCTTGAGGATATTAATTTTAATAACATTTATTAAATAATTAATATTCATTACAATAGACACCATAAAGAGCCTAAATCCCAGGTATCCAAAACCCTTCTTTAAGAACGAAGTAAAATAATGTTGTCAAATTAAAGAGTACGACTAAGATGTAGCGCGACAATGAAAGTAGCGTGTACATATTACGTTTAGTCGGTTAATCAGGCGCCATTGACAGCTCTCTCGTCGTTTGCGCTCGCGTTCCTATTTTGTTGAATTTATCTTGTTTCTTTGTTTTGTTTTTGTTATTAAGTTATTTAAGTTTAGGTTATTCATCGTTTGTAATTAATGTGTTCAAATATATTGAAGAAACTTGGCCCAAAGACACATATCCGTACAAGAAAGAAATCCGTGCATCAGATTCAGAATAGTTTCTATTTAAACATGATAATGAAATAGACCCATAGGCTAGGCTCTTGTACGATTTAGGCATTTGTACTTGTATGTGTGTATGACAAATGAACGATTTTAAAGTGAATTTAGTTAAAATTAAAACACGAGAAATATTTGAAGTAATAGTAGGTTAAGTATCTCTGTGTCACGTGGTTTTCTTTGTTTACCTTTAGTTAATTACCTAAACAGATGGACTATAGGTAGTTTCAATAATAAATTGAAATCGGATCTAGGTATTTATGTTACTGACTAATTCCACAGGCCCAGTTTTTTTTAAGGGAGGAATTTTTTTAAATCATAGAATACGGTAGTTGTCTAATTTTTATTTTAATGTCCGTCTTGTAGATTACTTTAAATCATTAGACACGTATTTTTTATTTTCATACAGAAACGAATACTTTCGACGATATATTGACTTGAAATGTCGCGTGACGTCACTTCTATGTACATTTTATACGTAGAAATTACGTTTTAGCCCCCACTCCTAAACTTTGATTCATTTTATCTAAGTATTATTTTATAAGACAAAATAAAAAAATACGTGTGTAATATTTTTTCATTACCTAACTGACAGACTAATTAGATTTTTAATTTTTTATACCCTGTCATCATCCCTATTACTTTTAATTTCGGGGTCTAATAGGGCTAATGCCGATACGGAGCCGCGGAGGACTTAACGGGTAACCGGGGCTCCGGCTCGAGGCAGGAGTAGGAACGGGGTGGTTTTTAGTCAGTAAGAGTCTGACACTCCCTCTCGCTTTAAAGTGGAAGAAATCATTGTATGATTTTCCTTCCTCAAAAAAGGCATTAATTTAAATTATACTTTAGTGAAATGTTAAGATAGAATTATACGTTAATTTATCCGTATTTTTTTTATCGAAAATTGAATACTCCGTCCGTCAATTAGTCAGTTAAGCTAGGCGAACCTTGCACTTGTCGACCAACAGGGCAGTCTAAAATCCATAACTGCTGACCAATCATGTCATAATCCCAAAATCCCCAAGCATGGCAAACGGTTTAACGATTACTTACAGATTTCATCAATCAGTTCGGAGATGTACACAGCTGAGCGGTGTGCTGGCACCTTCTCCTGCATCGTGTTGCCACTAGCATCCATCCTGAAGTTGCCCACCTGGAAAAATAAGATTTATTTATGAACTCTTTGTATAAAATAGGTAAGGTCTATTTAAAAGGGGAAAATTGTAGTGTTTAAAAATCCTAATTGAAAAACGTAATAGACGCATTACTCGCCCCCACAATTTTCGAAAGTTCCCCTCGGTTTCCCTAGGATCCCATCATCAGATCCTGACCTCATGGAAATGGGACCATCTCGGGAATATACCCTTTCGAACAAAACAAGAATTTTGGAAATCGGTTCACAACATAACATCACGCCTTTTATCCTCGAAGGGGTAGGCAGAGGTGCACATTATACCACTGTACAATGTGACACCCACTTTTCCCTATTTATGCTATGAGTCCCATTTAATAGGGGGTGAGCCTATTGCCATATACCGGGCACAGTTCCAGACTCCGTGCTACTACTAAGAATTTTTTAAAAACCCAGTAATACTTTCACTCGGTTCACAAATGGGGGAGTAATGCGCGAACAAACAAAAAACAAAAAAAAATAGTTTTGAAGTCGGTAAAAATTGAATGCCTTTTCCCGCCTGGGTGAGGCAAGAGGGGATGTCAGACTCTTACTGGCTAAAAACAACACCGTTCCTACTTCTTCTTCTAGCCGGAGCCTCGGTAAAACTATGGTATAACATTATAAGTTGTATTTGTTACCTTGTATTAGATATTCATATGTGTGTTTAGGCGCCACAGCCCGTATAACGCAAGCGATTTAATGATCATTCTGGTGTAAAAGGCTTTATGCTGTTGCCCGTACTTTGGGTACTATATGTAAATGTAACTAAACCACAGAATATAAATAAAGTACTAAACATATTATAATAAAACTTAATTGGGACAACTGTCAACTGGGACTGTATTATTTATTGTCTTTAAGGTTATTTTCTTTTTCGATCACTTTGACTAGATTTTAGTGTCACATTGTTCTCGCACAATCCAAACAGCAAACTGTGTAACTAGAGAATTGTATTGTGAACAAGATTGAAAAAGAGTAACCTATGGAGTTTCTTGCTCGTTCTTCTCCATAGGAATCTACACCTTGGAATGAGCAAATAGCTTCACTTTTAATTTCATTGTTGACGTTCAAAAGTGCCTTTCTGGTCTAATTGAAATAAATGATTTTGATTTTGACTTTGACTTTGACTTAACGGTTTTTGATCATGGTATTATCTAGAACAAGCTGTCAGATCTTTTTAACTGACTTCAAAAATAGGAGGTTCTCAATTTGACTCGTATGTATGTTTATTTGTTTTATGGGATAAGCCGGTAAACGAGCAGACGGATCACCTAATGGTAAACAATCGGCATCGCCCACGGACACCTGGAACACCAGAGGCGTTGCAAGTGCGTTACCGGCCTTTTGGGGCTTAGGAACTTGAGGATTGTTGGGGATTCTGGAATTGGGGAGATCGGGGAGGGTAGGGGGGCTTTTTGTAACCTCACTCACGACAAAACAACGCAAGCGTTGTTTTACTATGGTTTTCTTCTCGGCCGTGGTATCACTCCGGTCTAGACGGCCCATTCGTGCCGAAGCATAGGTCTCCCACATTTAAATGATGTGTATTTTAAAATTTGTGTTTTTTTTTGTAAAAACGTTGCCCCTCACTAGGATTTTCTACTGTGTCGTGGGTGCGTGTGGGTCACATACACACACTGAAAAAAATGAACACCAACTAAGATGCATTTTCTCTTAGTTGGCATAAAAATGTTTAGAATAATTATTTATTTTGTTACTTTAAACAATTTAGCTTAGTTGCCAGAACAAATTCATTTTATTTAAGTCGACAATTTTGCACATGAACAGTATATTTAACTGACTTTGTTACATCACACATGCTTTGTTCGATTTTACTACTCCACTTTTATAAATCAAATAATAATTTTAGTTCACGATAACAAGTAACTTGTTAGCAATATATATAAAATATCGTAGGTTTTAACAACGAGCATAGTTGACTAGATAGCCTGCATAGTTAAATCAAACAAGAGAAGTGGTTGCATCTAATAACGCTTTGTTGTGTCAACAAAACGCAGCGGCCGGCCGCCCCGCCAAAAACTTGTCAAACTTGTCATTCTCCTCAACTCATCATAATTCATTTGAACGCGTACCGACATGTACGTGTAGAGGAAGACTACCGTGAATTGCATTTGATTAACTAATTCTAGTGAGTGATAAGTATGGACGAAGTGGCAGAGTTATTAAAAACGTGGGAACTGTCCGATCTCATCCCAAAATTTGCAGGTAAGATAAATCTTGTTGTAACCTTTACCTAGTAGGTATCTACCTGCTAGATAGCTATTCTGTGATCTGTATTGGATGATAATATTGGTAATTCTACGTAGGTAATTTGCTGACCACATCATTAATTTTGATCGCTGGCTTTCACAACGCAAAATGCGTCGCTGTCACCTACCGACTGGACTATACCTACTTTACTATTATAGCTGGAGAGCCAGTGAACCCTGGGAGTAACGGTCTCTCTGTAAGGTTAGAAATTTGTATACTTACGATTTATGGTATTCTAAGAGCAATAGCCATGACCTGGCAGGCGTCAGCCCTGCACGTCATCAGCCCCTTTATTTTTTGAACTGTTTAGTAAATTGGGTTTTAAAACTTGTTTCTGTAAATTTGAAAATTTAATAGGATAAAGTTTATTTATTGTACATCTTAAAAAAAAATTGACAGGTGATTACAATAAGCAGAAGTATATGACAGATCAATTAAAAAACGCACTGTTGATGATGTAATTAATAAACTTTATCCTGTATACTTGAAATTTTTATATGTCTTCAAATAAACGTCTCAGAGTAAATATGTACAATGCCAGGCGGTTTTGAACAGCATAAGACCTTGACAGGCGAGGGGACAGCTGCTAAGAGCGTGCGAGAAGTGTCATGAAGATGGTACAATACATAAAACTCAGAAATCAGCAATGGTTGAAATTTTAAAGGCAAATGTCAACTGTGAAGACGTACCAAGACGTTTTCATGTTGTCATTTTTGATTTTTGATGGATTCTTCTTACTGCATACATTAAAAAATATCCCCAAAACATTTAGAGGTATTTCCACAAATATTATGTCGCTACTAACAGCTACACATGCCTCATGATAGATATCATTTTCGACCAATACTTTTCGCCGTCAATTAAAGATAACGAGCCAAACGACAAGAAGTACGAAACAAAAATTATTTCATTACCGGACCGAACAAATCGACCAGTTAATTTTATGAAAGAACTTCGTAACATACAATTTAAAGAAGCTTTCGTAGATTTTTAATTACACATTGGAGCACAAATGAAATGATAGAGTTTATCGGGAATACCATAGTGAACTTAAATTACAAACAATGCCATACTTATAGTGGCCATAATAACTCTGTGATTGTCGATATAAATGATGATTTATCGTGCCAAAACCATGAAGAGCCTTTAAAATTTCAACCATTGCTGATTTCTGAGTTTTATGTATTGTACCATCTTCATGACACTTCTCGCACGCTATTAGCAGCTGTCCCCTCCGCCTGTCAAGTCTTATGCTGTTCAAAACCGCCTGGCATTGTACATATTTACTCTGAGACGTTTATTTGAAGACATATAAAAATTTCAAGTATACAGGATAAAGTTTATTAATTACCTCATCAACAGTGCGTTTTTTAATTGATCTGTCATATACTTCTGCTTATTGTAATCACCTGTCAATTTTTTTTTAAGATGGTCAATAAATAAACTTTATCCTATTAAATTTTCAAATTTACAGAAACAAGTTTTAAAACCCAATTTACTAAACAGTTCAAAAAATAAAGGGGCTGATGACGTGCAGGGTTGACGCCTGCCAGGTCATGGCTATTGCTCTTAGAATACCATAAATCGTAAGTATACAAATTTCTAACCTTACAGGGAGACCGTTACTCCCAGGGTTCACTGGCTCTTGGACTATTATACTCTACTATAGAGTAGGCAGGCACTTATCTATCTATTAGCAGGCGACAATGCGGTAAAACGTTGATATGTACCTTTGAAGAACATCATAAGTACCCCTGTAACGGTAATACTTCATTGTTTTAAAAGGATGACGAGCAGATTGTACCTACCGACGGATAAAGACTAAGTTTACGTATGTCGTTAGAAAGTTCTTTTCATGACTATCATTTGTTATTATAGGGGCTAGTCTCAATTTGTGGTGGGTAAAATGTTATAGTCACTTATAGTTAACTAAATAATTCATAAACAAAGGAAAATGCAAACCAAATGTATGGAGTCTGGACTCACCCCTGTGATAGGTCTTCTTAAATGGAACAAAAGACGACATACATACATCTAGTCGTTATTAGTTTCCCATATATGTTTGCCTGTCATCCTTTATTAATTTCAATACTTAGTTCATAAAATATTTACATTGGTAATAATTTGTAGAGCAGGCGATCAATATTCAGGCCTTATCAGCATTGACCACTGATGATGTCAAGGATATTATCCTTCAAACAGGGCTGAGGGTGCTGTTCATGAGGTGCTGGAGATCTTGGAAGGCTGAATTTTTATGCATCAATAGTTCTTTACCCGTAAGTATTAAATACCCATAGTTGCAAATAAATTATAATTATACATAAGTACGTACTCTATATTGTAAGTATTAAACTCCATGAAACTATTTTGTATAGCTTCAAGGTATACATTCTTTTACCTTTGTTTTAATGTTAAATAATACTTAAAATGATCACTTTTAAAAAATGTTTAGCATTTAACAACAAAACACTTCAATAAGATGCTTTATGTTGTATTAATACCTATATAAGTAGACATTATGTTAGTTATTTAGTAGTTAGTTAATATTATGTAAGTAAATTACCTACTCCAGACTCTAGAAAATATTTTGTTTTACCCAGTGACTTACTGACCTTATTTTTGCTTGCAGAATCTAGATTTATCAGAATTGAAATTTGGACGGGACCCAGCTATTAACGTTTCTCTTGCGGAAAAGAAAGAAAATGTGC